GGTGTCGAGAGATTTGTCAATTATGGTCGATTTTAGCGATAAAAAAGCATTCCAATCAATTTAAATTAATGCTGAAATGTTGCTTATTGGAAATATTAAATTTAATCTATTAGCATGTAATTAAAACTGAAATAAAAGCTTCATGAAAGGTTTTTCATTTTAAAAATAGGTTTTAAATCTTAGGTGTCACTTTTTGGAGGTACCTATATATATATATATATATATATATATATATATATATATATATATAGATGAGAACATAAAGAGTACAATTCCATTGTTCGTAACATTTAATTTAAAAGAGGACTCAATACAAAGTGGAGCAGTATTATTTATTTTAGGATATTACATCGAAAACATATCAAAATCGTCACACAATTGTAGTCATGTTTCGATGCATCTCATCAGGTGATTGTAAATTACTGGCGACTGAAAGATTTATAAAGATTTAAAAGTAAAATATAACCTCTTTTTACGAAAAAAGTAAAAATAAAAAATCTCTTGTTTATCTTTGTACTATCTATTCAATAGATAATCCGACGGTTGAAAAGTTCTATATTGGTAGTACTAAGAATTCTTTCAAGACTAGGTGGTATCAACAGGTCAGAGAACGTTGACTAAAGTTTTACAAAGTCCTTTACTAATAGCACTTATGAAAAGTCCTTTACAAAGTCTTATTTGCTAATGGAAAGTCCTTTACAAAATCCTTTACTGATAATACTTATGGAAACAATACATTAATTTCTAAATATTTCTTGAACTTGAAAGATAATAATAAAACTCCTAAGGTGAAATGGAAAGTTTTTAAAATTGCAAGTTACATGTACATCTTTATATGAACTCTGTTTTCTGTGTTCACATTAAAAATTGAAAATTATCAGGTTCTTTGATAAGAAAGCTTTATTAAATCAAAGATCCAAGTTAACGGTAAATTGTATACACTGTCTACCTTTTACCTTAGACTTAGACTTGGAATTTGACAATATTTTTCTTAGATTTTAGTTGAACTGTGTTGCACCATACATGGCTTATCTTTCTATTTGTAAGATTAATTTGGATTTAATATATATTTTTTATTAATCTCCTGTCAGTATTAGTAACATCTTATACGGATGTTTTGATAGTTTGTTGGTATTTTTGACATTTTACATTGATTGGTTATTGTTATTAACATCTTATATGAAGAATTGTCAGTCAACAGTTACATATCAATTTACCAAGTAATTCCATACGTTTAAATTATTTATTGGTTTCTTAAAGAAGCTATTTATTTATCATCTTTAAAAAAAATTATGTAGGAAGCTCACAAATCATATGACTTGTTTAGCATTTTGTTAAATTATCACTCCACCTCATTTTTTCTTAGGAAATGGCATTGTCTAGTGTGTATAATTGATGTATCCATTAACACCCGCTGCTGTTTAATGTCTGTGCTGCCATTAGCTGCCAATCTACAGGTCCTGGCCCATTTATAAAAAAATAATTTTTTAAATTTGGCTTATCCGCTTAGTTTAAATTTAACATAGGTCATATTTGATTCGTTGATCAGAATAAAGCCCACAAACCTTAGAACCTTAAACCTAAAAGAATTTAGACTTTTATTTTTCATTTGTGGTTACTTTCTGTTATTTTTCGTAAAAAGAGGTTGTATTTTGCTTTTAAATCTAAATAAATCGTTCACTCACCAGTAATTTATAATATATATATATATATATGTGTGTGTGTGTGTGCATGCGTATGTGTATGTGTGTGGGTATGCGCGCGAAGGTGGTATATGTATATTCTAGAGGGGACAATATCCACACCGATTACTGGCTTTACACAACATTAAGAATTATCAAATTAAAGAGCAGATAAATAGTATTGTTTAGAAACTGTCAAAATTTTGATTCTTCTAATAGTTTATAGAGTTTGAAGCAAGCATGTAAGGAAGAAAATTCTAGATGATTAAGCAAAACTTTAATAAAAATTAACTTTCAGTTAATATGCTGTAATTATTATAAAATACTGAAATCTATTAGTCGTGATTTTATTCGATATAAAACCACAAAGCATGCACTTAATCCTATGGAAAATTAAAATAGGTAAGTGCATAAATCATCTTAACATGTATATGAATATATGGGATTATCTTTATTGGTTTAGTCATATATAGGTTATACTTCTGTAATTATAGAAATAACTTATTCCATTTATTCGAAATATTCTGTCAAAGCAACCAATTTATGCAATAATATTTGCACATGAATGAACCAATTTTATCATAGAAGCAAAGAATTTAGACTTTTATTTTTCATTTGTGGTTACTTTCTATTATTTTGTTATTTATTTGTCAAGATCGTTTCTCTTTTATCCATAACTCCCATTAGTGATAAAATCTTATTCCATGTTTCTTTGATAGTGCTGTCAATTAATGTCCAGTTGAGAGATCAATAAGTAAATGGGACACTACCTTTGAAATTTCCTTTTTATTTCATTACTCCGTGTCACAACTTACCATTTGTATACTTTCATACTTATCATTAGCAATTGATTCATCGAAAGTTGCTTTTAAAATATTGAAAAATACTATTGAATGGAAATAAGTTCGACCTAATAAAATATAGTATTTTAGTTTATCCTATATAAAATACTTTTATACGCTGCTATACGCTGATACAAAACATAGACAAATATTTTAATTCATTTTATTATTATTATAGCTTTGGTTTGAATATAATGAAGAAAAGAGATACTGAGACTTCTCCGTCGCATACGAACTGACAGAGATCATTGAAGAGTTCAGCCGTATTCGGCAGATTATCAGCCGAGGCTCCTTGATCTCTTCCTAACATCCTGCCCTTAAAAAATTCTTCACTGATGTATTGCCCTGCCTTCTAGCACCTCTGATTATTAACTAGTCAGAGTTGTTGCCAAACCAAAGGTATCCCTTGATTTTTCAGTACACGAAAGTCGAGTGAGATAACTGCAGATCTTTCATGGCAGATGCTCCTCTTAAAAAAAACTGCCCCCCAAACTGCCCCCCTTATCTCCGAATGGATTCTTTCTGTGATGGAGAGTTTTAAACTCCACAAATAAAATACAAAAAAACTTTAGATGACAAAGACATTCCCTCCACAAATTCATCCATCACACAGATTACAATCTCCGTATATTTTTTTTTCACAACCCTGGAAGTCTCACGACTTACCAAAAGTCTTGACCCAAAGAAGGATACAGACCAGATAAAACTCTTATGGTTGTCCTTAATAATATTAATCCTGAGTTATGTCCGATCTTAACGAAAGTATTTAACCGCATCTTGAAGGAAAAATCCTTCCCGGATCTGTAGAAGGTGACAAGTTTATACCCAGTCCCCCCCCACAAAAAAAAAAAGAAAAAAAAAAACAAAATTATCAGCTACCTGAGTGTCATTAGCAAACTTTTGAAGAATCAAGAAAGTTGTTGATCACCTCAATAAAGAAAACTTCGTGAGCGACAAGCAGTGAGGATTTTGATCGATTCGGTCCACTATTGATATCTGAATCAGTGAGGCACTAGACAGCAAATACAACTCAAGGACGACCACATTAGATATTTCAAAGGCTTTTGGCAAGGTGTTCTGTAAAGGGTTATTGCTCAAGCTCTCTAGCTATTGAGTCACAGGAAGAGACTTCTCAATTATCAAATCCTAACAGTTAGACTCCTTCTCGGTGTATGCGCACACGTAAGTAGTTGAGATATCAATGGTTATATATACACGCTTGCATTAATCATTAAAAAACTGGACAGTATACTTTAAAAGTGTTGTTGTTATAATACCACATCTCAAAGAAAGTAAATATTTAACAGAAATTATATGCACCACGCGTATATTTTTTGACAAATGTCTTCATTTTATTGTTGCATGGACATTACGATAAGTGCGGACGCAACATTTAACTACATTTATTCTGGTATTATGAAGGGAGACTGGACTTGTAGACGTCCAGGGTCGATCAGAGAGAACAAACGATTGTTTATCATTTTAAGGGATGGCTATGTACATTGATCTCATAATATTATTTAAAATTAATAAGTAAGATTGAAAACTGAACTGCAAATAGAGAAAATATTCAGTTAACATTTGAGTTTAGACATTAGCTGTGTTTTTTATCATGACCTTTTCATTTTTATTCATTTTCATTTTTTTTTCATATTCTTTTTATGAATATAAAATTTCATTCAATTCTTTTGAAATGCGAATAAAGAACAGTGGCATGACTAAACTTGTGATGTATTGCTGTTGTATGGCAGAGTACACTGAAGATTCTTGCCTTTGACATTTCATGTCGTACACTGAATATACATAAATATTCAATTATAGAGATATATCTACAGAAGGAAGGGCAGTAGCCGGTCGAATACGCGTGTTTGGTATAAAAAAAACCTAGAGTATTTTTCAACAATGCCCTCATATACATCTTTCTATATCATGATTAAAACAGTTTTATTAATTTCAGTCAGAAGGTTCTGGCATAAGTAACTGTATATTCAAATAGCTAAGGAATATTTCTTATTTTATACAGATTTCTCATTTTCTCGTCTGATTCATCGATGATAAAGCAAACGATTAAAAACCATAAAATTAAGCGATTTTAATCATAAAATTAACAACACTTATATATTGTATTTGATGAACTTGAAAAGTTTGTTTTGGTATTAAAATAAATTATTTATAGTTATTTTGACGAAAAACTGAGATTTTTAAAAAAATAATTATTATAAATGAAAATATTAATTTTTGTGCGTGCTTTAATTTCGCTTTATTTTGCCTGGACACGCAACAAACCTTGGACAACATTTAATGGAAATCTGTTCTACAAAATTAAATATTGCATTAGCATGAATAAGACTTACTGGTAAGTACAAATTCATTCCAGTAATCTGAACACGAGGTTCTGTTTCTCATTTGGAATTAGCAAAATTCAAAATATTAAAGGAAATTGTTTGCCTTTTGCCTCAAACAGAAAACAGATTATAGCCATATCAAGTTGAAACATCAGTTCCCGTACGATCACTGAAGTTAAGCAACGTGGAGTCTGGTTAGTACCTAGATGGGTGACTGCTTAGAAATACCAAGTGAAGTAAGCGTGGATGTGCAGTTGGTGTAATGGCTCGGGGTTATTAATTAAAGAGCCGAGTTCCAATCCCAGTTGGGTTGGTTATATTCACTTACGTGCAATTACCCTTGGGAAATGTATGAATCGATGCGTCTCCCCCAGCTATGAGTTAATTAGTAAGATTTGTATCACTAAATTATTATTATCTCCAAAAACAATTCTTAATATCTAAAAATATTTCTTGCTTTAAATAATCTGCAAAGCCATAGAAAACGAATTAATCAATAAATCAATCAATCAATCAAATTGAAACAATATTATCGTAACACTATTATACTCAATTAAATTTACAACCCAGTTAATAGCAAATTGAAATATTAGCTTTCTTTTTTTACTAGAAATCTATATCTATGTAAACGTTCAGCATCCTTTTGCATAACCGTTTGTTATAGTTTAAGTCAGGGTTCGAATTATTTTTCTCAGAATTTAAAAGGACATGCTTTTTAACAGGCAGTTGTACATCTGTGATCTACAAGTGATTGTGCATAAAAATTCCAAATGAGTTAAATTGTATTGAAAAAACCACCACCACCAATTTTAACTGTGGATTCATAAACCTTGCTAAATTTATTGATTGATTGATTGATTTTTGCACTGACCAAAATGAATGCAGAAAGTATCGACTCAGTTTTGGTGTAAAGACAAAATGACTTTGAAGTCTCAAGATAATAAACTGTATAAAGTCAAAAATTAGTAACGATTTTCAATTACGACGTAGAAACCGCGGTTACAACACAATTTACCAAATTCTTATGAATCACCTAATCCAATTACTATACCCTAAACTTCACATCGTTTTGGAACGGCTAGGTAAGCTTGACAATTTAGGAAGGATATTAGAATAATTCACAACCTATCCTGGCATCAAAGCGCCTTCATACGGATAGAAAATGAGTTCAGTAAATACACAAAAATAGAAGGGAGTGTGTTAAAGAAACAAAGAAAAGAATACTGAACTATTACGTAATAGCAGTCCTCCTATATAGCAGTAAATGCTGGACAATCTTCTCGCAGATGAAGCAGAGGCTTGAAGTAACAGAAAGTTTGCTCTACAGAAGGATAATGAAAATACCACTGACCGAACATGTGAGCAACGACGAATTTTTAGAGAAAATGAAAATAAAAAGGACACGAATATTTAATATCAGAAGGAGACAGTTTAAATTTCTAGGGCGCATAATGTGGAAAGAGAATTTGGGAAATTTGATACTCACATAACAAATTGAAGGCAAGAGAGGTCAGAGGAAAATAATGTATAGCCTATCTGGTTTTATTCAATGGATGGGAGGCAAGGTTTAGGAGATATAGCAAAAAGACAAAATTTATTAAGCGCTACAAAGGACAAGAATCGTGGAGAGCTATGATCGTCAATGTTCCGAAGAAGAAAATCGAGTTATTCTAATCCGTTAATTCTAATCAATCCAATATTTACTTTTAATGATATATTACATTTTCCCAAGAAGTGATATATTTAAAATACAATGATTTGTATTCGTATGGCAGCATTGGTTCGTATATAGCAAATGTTTTACTCAAAAGAGAGATTATTTTAAAATGCATTTTAAATAAAATCAGATGTTACCAAAAAGAAGTACTGCATTAATCAATATACCTGATTAATATCTTCATTGATTAAAACTATTTTAAAGTTGAGAAACATGTATTGTCTATCACAAAAAAAATATTTGATCTTGTAAAATTAGCAATCAATAGGTTGAAAACACCAATGCATGGAAATAAACTACATATTTTACTATTTGGACTTGCATGTCCATTATGATTGATTTACAACTTTTCTACCCTTGCACTTCCTGGCTTTCTTCAAGAGTTTAACTTATTAGCTGGTAACCTTGTTGGAATTTCGAAACGAACCTTTTAGTGGTCAGTCTTTCTATTCTTTATCCACAGTGGGTTTACTGAGTACAAAGGTAGAAACCTGAAAAAGGCATAACGTACAACCAAAATTCTCTAAGTATAACAGTCAAAATATATTTGCAATGCAATATATATATATATATATATATATATATATATATATATATATATCTTGTGGTTCCGATTTCTAAGCATTGTAGATTTATGACTTTGAGAGACAAATTCTTACAAATATAAATTTAGAAATTCACTATTTGTATGTACGTATGAAAGTAAAGTATATAAAATTAGTGCTGTAATTAATATGAGTATAAACACTTTGTACCAAATGCAATGGTGGATTGGTAATATTAGTATCGCTACGAAGTACCCCTTTAAAGTTTTGGTATAATCTTTAGGCTATATTTTAACAATAGAATTCCCACGGAAAACATTTGTTGCTTCATGACAAATACAAATGTTAGAGAAATAAAGTTAAGTAGAAAGATCAGTCAGGTATTTTTCTTTTTGACTTTCATACAATTTTGGAATATTGAGGAGAAAGATGATTAATTGTGGCTAGTTTTTTCTTGTCTTTTAATTATTCAACTGATCCACAGTAAAATAGCGGGAAAACGGAATGAAGTACTTGAAATGCATCGAGGATTATTTAAGAGTAAATAATATTCCTTTTGTAACTGAGAGTAATGTCAACATTCCATCACTGAACTCATTGTTTTATTGCCTTTCTCTTAATTTCTCAAACTCAAGAAAATATGGTATTCAACCAATACAGAGTATATGGTAAAATGCTGGTCTTCATGCTAGCTTAGCTAGTCGAGTTCTTGTGGAGAGTCATGATCGCGGAACACAGCATATAAAAGAAGTCGCATTCATTGACACAATGAATATCATTCAATTTACATTCAATTCCTTCAACTCACGTCAAAATCTCCATAATGTCAAATGTTCATAATTAAGAGATTTTTAAATGTATGTATACGTTATATAAGGTATATAAATTGAGGGAGAAATGGTATAAAATATTGAATAATTATTAGTATAGTCTCACAACTCCTCAATTAAAACTAATGTGATGGAAGAATAGGTTAACTTGCGGAAAAATTATAATTAGTCTTCGAGCAAGTGTATAACCTCTTACGCCCATTAAACAATTCAACTCTTGCGGGCCCGGCCATTAGGCCCGGCAGATTTCCAATAGAGGCCAAGTGATAACAATCCACTCTACACTCTACGTTGTGAATTTTCTGATCTGAAGAGTGGTTTCGTTGATCCTGGACCGACAGAGTCTGTTGAGAGTGCTGAGAACGGAACAAGGGCATATTAGTAAAAAATAAATTATGATAAAATAATCATGAAAGAAAGATCGAAGTCGCCTCAATAGAGTTCAAGTATTTATATACTATAAGAATTAAAATTAAGGAGAGGGAGCGAGAGAGAGAGAGAGAGAGAGAGAGAGAGAGTTGGCTGTGTATCAGGTTACCCCTCTCGGTCGTTCCAATTTCTTATGCAAATATTGCGTCCGCCTCGTTTATACAACAGGGCGTTTCACTTGGTACATATCAAGTCTCCGCACTCTGCTAACAACCGGTATTACAATCTCGTCTCAGGAACTTTCAGGGACTTCACTCTACTTTCCACAATTCTGCTGTTCGTGGCCCTGCTCGTCACTCCCTGCTACTCTGCGTTACTCTCCTATGATCTTCCTAACCAATCTCTCAACCAATCTATGCTACTCTCCCACGACCTCTCTGATACTCTGCGCAACTCTGCTAACAACTCTCTAGCACCTCCCCATAATTCTCCGTGACTCTCCACTGTTCTGTTATTCGCGGCCCAAACACCTGCTTATATCGAAGATGGGTGGGATTGTTATTTCGAGGGTTTCCATGCATGATTGCTACAGCCAATCGCCGGCAGCCACTCGCCACCCGAGAATTGTCGTTATCCGCAACACTTGACTCCCCTTACCCCTGGCCAACTATATCCCGGCCGTCCACATAGTTCTGGGTAGCCTCAGGACAGCCAATAGCCATCAGAGAATTGTACTTATCTGTTACTCTTCGACTCCCTTTTCCTCTGATCAATTCCAAACTGGCCGCACACATATTTCCGGGTAGCCTTTTCGCCAGAACGCGTTAACTTTTTCAATCACTCGCCCGGAACTATTGGTCACCAGAATGTCTAGCCCTCCATCCCCCCCCACCAAAAAAAGAAAAAAAAAACAGGAGATAAAATTTTCGGTGACCTCTTCAAAAAAAGAAAAAAGAAATAATAGGAAGAATTTTTTTTCAACCTTTTCCTTAAGCTAATCACTTTATCAATATTTCCAGTTAGTCCGTTAATTTCATCAGGTTAACGATAGCCTCAATTTTACTACGACTCGAACCCTAATCAATTCATTATGCTTCGTTAATTAACACTTATTTTAATTTCGCCGGCTCTCTCTCTCTCTCTCTCTCTCTCTCTGTCATAAAGAGAAAAAAACATTCAATAAAAGTTTTTTATCTATTCATTCCAAACACAACGAAATAAATTAGAAAACGTTAACAGAACATTACTTTCTACCATTTAGTGGGATTAGTCAAGGAATAACTCAGTTAAACAATAGAAAGTCAACCTGATTTTATTAAATATGTTACGTGCTAGTACCCTATGTGCTATGAATCCTCTTCTCCCTCCAGCTATGGGTAAATAGTAGGACAGACTGAGTTCTATAGCTTTGGATGGCAACTGGTCTATCGCAAAAAGAAATGGCAACATACTGCGGGAAAAATCTGCTACGTCAGTCACGTATCGAAAGATACACAATCTCCTAATCCTGTATCACGCATGGCACATAACTGACTGACTGACCTTATCTTTTGAAGCTGGGCTGAGACTTCAGTTCCAGATTCTTATTTGCAAGTCAACATTAACTCTTTCCATATTGGACATAACTTCCCATAATTTTTCTTTAATACATTTTTTCTTTCAGCTTTGATTTTCATTTTGGGTAAAAATTGTTTGATCAGAAGAAATATTGGCCATTATTCTACTAAAGACGCATGCTATCCTTGTGTTTAAAAGTGAAGTTGCTGAAGACAAAA